CCGGGTGGTGATGGCATAACTACGTAGAAGAATGAATAATTTGCAGACAAACTTGCCATAAGTTAAACAGATAATTTATTTTTGAACAATCCCGAGGGAGATTTTTTCCACTTCCCTACATTACAGCGACGAATAAACACCCCAGGATGTATCTATGACGCATTACATTTCTAAAACAATAGAGGAAACCAAGCAGCGACCGGAAGATTTCAGTTTTGCAAGCAAGAAGTAACAAAAAGGAAAAAAGTCCTTATCCGGCCTTTATTTTCGCAATCTTAGGCATATACTTCCAATGACAAACATGTTTTAAATGACGAAATTATTCATGTTTTGGACAAATAAATCTAATTTTTAATGCGATGTTTTGGAATCTAATTTTTAATGCGGTTTCCCGGTTCTTATATTTGTATTTGAGAAAATTTTGTTGTTGTTATGAAAAAATAAAAATATAAGAAGCTTGACTCCCGTACGACAAAAATTCACCGGAGAGTTTCAAAATTGATAGTTTTTGATGTGATTTACAACTTGGCTTGAGGTATCGGTAATTAAGTTAGAATAGTTTGAGGTTAGCCATAACATAATATTTCAAATTATGTTATTAGGCCAGCCTAAACTTTCGAAATCCCATGTTCTTTCCACAGCTTTATGGTTTATAAGAGCCATACTATTTTCTTTTGCTGAACATATAAAACGGTGCTAATCTACTTTCGATCGTGAAACAGCATGCACATTATACTCTCGCGTGTCTTATGCTTTTCGCTTTGACCGCTGTTAGTTATAATAAAACCGGTTTAATTTATCTGATTATGATTATGGCAAAGCACTCGAGAGCTATCTGGCTAAGGGCAGGGATGCCTTTGTGGAGGACGTTGTAAGGGAAACTGGCTCCTACACACCTTATACATCCTGAAAAACAAAACAAAACAAAAAATCCCACGCAGTCAGCCCGTTCTCCGGGATTCGAATCCCGGACCGAACTAGTGACCGAAGTGTTCAACTACTTTACCGCTAGGCTGCTGGGTGCCCTATAGAAAAATTGTTTTGATGATGTTTTTCAGTCTTAAACTTTTAATGTATCTATATACATCTAATAGGTTAATATTAAAAAGTTCGCAGCTTTCACTTTAAGGTAAATATTTTTTACTGAAAAATGCTCATTGGGGTATGATTTCAGTCTTTCATTTTATCCCTGTTTTGATCTTGTTTTCGAAATTGCAGCTAATATTTTTATCTTTATACATAAATTTTAAACAATATCGTCAGAAAATAAACTGATTTCTACCCCAATTGTCAAATTTTTTGTAAAGACATAAATTGAATATTTTGTGTTCAGTAGGAATCATGAAAAATTAACCATCAGTTTCTCACAGTCTTTTAATTTACAAAATGCATATTAATAGATAACTAAATCTGAATAAATTAACACTGATAATAATGAATAAAATTTTGACAATGAACATAAATATTTTACTTAAGTTTATGATATAACTTTTTTTTTTTCTAAAATTGACTTTAAAAGATATAAAACGTTTTTTCTATTTAAACAAAATGTGCTAGAATATAGTATAACAAAACAAGTTAATGAAAAATAAAAAATATTGTTAAAATGTGCATATTCTAAAACATTTATATAATACATATTAACGAAAATGCAGTTAGAGAAGGCATTCTTACATTTGGCAAATGCATGATAGAACACATTTATTCAGCTTGTATACCAAAACCGTTGTTCATATTTGGTACAGTTTAAAATGTGAATCAACAACACGCTTCAACTCACTTTTGTTTTTTGGACTCTGGTTACCATTTAGTATTTCTCAAAATTATCAAATGGTGACATAGACACTCTTCTGCGAAATTTTTCACAATATTCTAAACATTCCTTGCATATTGTTTTCGTTTCACATAAGTTAGAATTATTATTTAGCTCCTTGTATAGTGTTGTTCTTTATTATGCATTTTTATTTCAAATACATTTCCAGGCACAGCCATACATACGCACGTTCGAAAAATTATGACAGAAAAGTTCGTGTATTTTTAATATACCAACAACCACTTTTATTCTTTAAAAATAAGCATAATCTTCATTTATTGTCTCTGCTGACTATTAACTCTAATATTAAAATGTATTCATAAAAATGCATAAAAAGTGAAAAGAATAAAATTTAATTTATATTTTACCTGCTTATGAATATTAATACCATTTATCTGGCCTTTAAAGGCTTCATTGTTTCTTGTTTTCAGAAGATAAACCCTCAGATGGCAGATATTTGCATGAAATAAATGTACAAATAAAATTTTTAATTTTAAATTAATTATGTGGAAAATAAATTTAACGTACCACTCAATTTTTAAGCAAAGAGAATACAAAATAAGCTCTAAAATGTTTCCTGAATAAAGTACTGTAATTTATGTATTATTTATAACTTATAATTAAAAATCCCCTCTTTTAAAAATTTGGGAACAATGCAAAAACGCATCGTATATTTATAGCAATTAAGAATTTTCTATTCATAAAGAAAGAAAGAAATTGAAATTATTATTAATGTAGTTAAATATATTCAATTCCCAAACTTAAGTTAAAGGTAATAAATAATATGTTTTAAATTCAGAGAGAACTGCACATAATGTCATGACTTAATCAAATTAAGTAGTTTAGTAGAAACTAATTAACTTAAAATTTTTATTTTCTGATGCAGCAGTAAGCCTGTCAAAATAATAAATGGCTTTAGATAACGCATCCAAGCTGAAGGACGAATTAACATATTTCAGGTACTTTGTTTTATTAGGAACAATTACTGTATTAGCTTTATTTTAAGTGCTAAAATCCATTACGCGTTTACATACCACCAATATAAATATATAACATAAACAAACAAAACTATCAGTAAATCTTTCAGTGACAGCATATGGAACTGAATTTCTTATTTATCAAGGTTTTTCTTTTCAAGAAGCTGACACAATTTTTAACGAAAAATATATTCATTGCATCAATCAATAATACAGTGATTATTTTGTAGTTATTTTTAAACTTCTTTAACAGTTTATTATCTTCTGTAATTTACAATTGTAGAGCCATTAGGTTTTTCTCAAGTGGGAGAGGAGAAAATTGTACTGTGCTATCGCCGGCCGGCTCGAACTCTGGACCTCTCGAATACGCATCGAGTTTGCTTCCAATTATATCACGAAGGCATGCCGAAAGGAGAAAGAAAATAACTTGTACAATAACATATTACGCATTGGCCCACAAATAGCCTCAGAATACTAGTATGGTAGTTTGTAATGATTAAGTTAAGGGCAGCAAAAACAATTAGATCAATTTTCGTCAAGTTTCTTGTTTGAAATATAAAGACACGTTATTTTGCCTTATAACGTCCTCCTACGGCAGCGATACCTAGCCTTAGATCATTTTCGCTGTTTTGCCGTCTAAATTATTGCCAACGGAATAAACCAGAAAACCAGATTTTTTTTAATGGCTCTCTTAGCGATATTCAGTTATAAATAATGGGAGAAATATTTTTTATAATTAACTTTGTTGATTACAACAATAGGCTACTTTATATTGCAACAAAAAGATAGACATAAAAGTTCAAAAATATTAAAATTTGGCGAAATTGGTGGGAAGGGGGAAGCAAAAATATTAAAATATACTATTTGGATAAAAGATAAAAGAAAGAAAGAGGAAAGGGAACATATCTGGCAGAAATTATTTCAACAATATGTTATTAGAAAATGAAATCAGCAATAAGAATATTTCAGAAAAGTATTTAATATGTTTCTTACGTTATAAAAATCATTTTACATTGCATTATAGTGATTTCCTGTAAACTTCGTGCTATTTTATGGGAACAGATTTATTGAACTTGAAGTTAATATTCAAGGAACATTTAAGAGTTTTATTTCTAAGATATTGCGTCTAGGTATGTAAAAGTACTTTTCTGAAAGTTACTTAATAGGCAATCTTTGAAATATTCCTCAGTTTTAATACTTTCCTTGAAATACCCATCAAAAATAAATTTCTAAAAACTTACCAAGAACGCCTTCTCCATGAGAAATGTAATAAATGCCTATGTGATCGACGAAATTTCTACAAAAATGAGTTGGAAACTTGATGTTTGATATATAAGCACTAATTTATAATTAGAACACCTTTTTATATATACCATCGCCAAACATAAATTCAATAAAAACCATGAATTATGGTTCGTGCCTTTTATTGAACTTATGTTTTTTATTGAATTTATGTTCCTTGGAGATGGCGTATAAAAAGGGTTCTATTTATAAATTATTGCTTTATTACATTGCAGCTTTGCGCAAGTCAGAGGCTTTTTAATTTACTTTCATTTACTTTTATTTAGAATTTATATATATATTCAAAATAAAATAATTAAAAATGTAAATTAAAAAGCTTATGACTTGCGCTAAAGCTGCAAAGTAATAAACTAATAGTTAATTATAATTTATAATAAGAAAACTTTTCATATACCATCTCCGAGGAACACACATTCAATTTAAAACCACGAGAGGTCCCGGTTCGAGTCCCGGCGAGGGCACTGCACATTTTCTATGCAGTTTCATTCGGTTAAATTGTTAATGTTTCACTGGTGACTTTTGAAAATTATCATTCTGATTGCCAAGCAACTAAATATTTAGAAAAGTTGTTCCATTTTACCAAATTTCAATGAGCATTTTCCTTGACATTCTGCTCTTCTTTTAATAAAGATTAACAAATACAAAGCAGTTACTTGATCCATTTTTAAGGGGGAAATGTAGTAGTTTGTTTAAAAACGGTTTAAAATTAATAAAAAGTAAAGCTCAGAGGTTCATTTTAGTTGAAAAACTTTAAATTTTTTTTTACAGAATGGAAAATTTAAATGAAGCGGAAAAATTTTCCCTTCATTACTTCTTATAAAAGTCGATATTTATTTACGCGCTGTGTTTCATTTCACTCTACCGATTTCCTCTTGAATAAAAATAATAAATAAAAGGAAAAGAAAAACCTTTGTTTTCGTGGAGTTCAATGTTTTGTCAAAATAATCACAGCCCTACGTTAGGCAAAACAGGAAAATCGGAAACCATGAAATTGAACAGACACCATGTAAATGGGACAGTTAGATCTCAAATGAGAAACGTTCAGAAATTCATTTTACACGACATGTCACCGAAGAATGAGAGAAAGAGAAGCCAGCTGGCGATACACACGCAGAATCAACCAAACAAGCAAAAACACTTCCAGAAATAAAACATCGGTCATTTCCGATTACAGATATATATATATAAATGTGTGTGTGTAAGAAATACCGTCGCTTGAAGAAAGGAAATAATAATAAAAAATATGTTAGATATCGGAGGTGTCTAGATTTTCTTCCTTTTCTTGTACTATTTTACTTATGAATTTTTTTATTTGTATAGCTGGCTGTAACTTACTTTGGAGCTGAAGTGGTGCAAATCCATCTGATTTCGAATAGTTTTCTGAAGTGAATGGTGAAATTTTATTCAGCCTGAGATATCCGGCTAATTCTGGAAAATAAATCTATTATTGCTGTTATTTAGCAGAGGTGGTAAAAATAAACAATAGCTGATAAACATATTATCAAAGTATAATATGTGGTTTTTTCTTACATTTTTACATAAAAATATGTTAAATTTCAGGATTACTTAGATATGTTTCTACAAAAATATTTATCAATATTTTACTTTTATTTTTATCCCTTGCGTTTATTAAGGTGTAAAGAATTAAATGGATTAAAATCTAACTGATAAAGAATGTAAAGACATAAGGTTGTTTTGAAGCAGGATACATAAAAAATGAGCAATGCCGACTCGAACCTAGACCTATCGAATACGCGCCGAGTGTGCTACCGTTACACCACGAAGGCATGCTCAAAGGAAGGAGAGAATACCTTAAGAAATATCTATTAAATATAACAGTTTGAATACCGGCTATTTTTTGAAAATTTCTCTTTTTTTTTCCTTTACAAAATTATATGGTAAAAGTTTAGATGTTTACATAAACCTAAACTTGTAGTCCATTTAGTTCACAATGTGTCACAGAATATTTGTGGAAATTTTCATAAATTTACTGTAGAAAAATTTTAACGTTCTGTAGGGTATTTCTCCCACCTTCCTAGCATGCCTTCGTGATGTGGTGGTCTGCATGCTGGGCGCGTATTCCAGAGATCCGTGGTTCGATTCCCGGCGAACGCGTTGCTCATTTTCATCTGTTCTGCTTCCAAAAAATACTTAATGTCTCAATAGTTCGTTAAAAAGAGAAAAGTTGACAAAATAAGTTTAATTTAAACACAAACAGAATAAGAAATGAAAATTTTGCCAAATGTGAAAATAAAAATGCAAAGCTAATCTTGCTCCCGACCACTTAATAAGGAATAGAAAGATTCAAAATCCTCTTTCGAACAATCCCCAAAAGTATTCAAATGAAAAGTTCTCAGTTTAAAATTATTTAAAATATTCTGTGTACTTTATACATCAACTTCGATCTTCTTAAACAGAAAATTCCGTCTCACGGCGTAGAACAAGAAAGGCCATAACTGTGCTAACGACCGGTGAAACAAAGTCAAAGTAGTTTTGAGAAGCTTAATGTAAAAGCTTTAAAATAATAAAATAGTAATAAAAATAATAAAAGGCTTTTGAAAAATTTTATCAAAATTGACGATTAGAACGTAGTCGGTTCTAGATCTTATCATTTGGTAGAAAACTTCCATCAAAGGAAAACGGTCTTAACAAACAAAAAAAAAACACATTTTATTCTCAGCTTGATTGCAGCATTTATGATACTCTTAAGTCATGGAAATCTTATGATGAAATCTTTTCACGGAGATAAATCATTGTCTCAAAAATTATCGTAATGGAACAACCCAAATAAACAGAAAAAAAATAATTTAAACGGAAAAGTAGTTAACGATTTCAGTGGCAAAAATAAACGGAAGAAAATGTATGAGTTTAACACGAATAAATGTAAGGAAATACGTATTTTGCTTAATAAAAGTAATATAAACATAAGGAGTGTTTTTTAGCAATTTATTTTATATCATTTACATGAAAATCTAAATTTTTATGCAAATTCCATGACTAGAGCGTAGGTTTGAAAGAAAATTTATGTTAATTAACCGGTTATTTGAAATTTCAGCCTTTACTATAACTTCTCCTTCCGTCTTCCTCACCAGAATGCCAATGAGTAGCTAGTATTTAAAATGAGGAGGCGTGTTTCTGGTATCTCGTCAGCGTTATGTTGTTAGTTTCCTGCCAGCTATGATAGTTGCAATTATTCGGCTTAGAACGCTTTATCGCTGTCGGTACTTTAATTCTGATGCTCCGTCAGAGTTAATGAGCCAGCTTCTAGCAGTATATAATTGCACAGTCCTTGACTACTCTTCAACGTTTGAATTAAGTTGAACTGTTCTACTTTATTTTGCATCACCACGAATTGTAGAAATTGTAGCACAAGAAAGCGCCCTTGTGGTCTAAAGAGTTAATTTAAACTTTCCAATGCTTTATCTTTTTCTCAGACAGCGATAATCCGCTTCACGTCTGTTAGGGTTATAGAACTAATTTAGCATTACTAGAACAAGTGTACCCCTACAGGATATGTCTCTTAGTTTTTCCACAGCCGATCATTCTTTACGTACACTGTTTTACAGCACATTTCTAGACCAATGGTAGAGTTTTCCACACCTTCTTTTCAAAAAGACTTTTTACGTAATATAAAGTTGCAAGCAATAGGATTTTAATAGAGAAAAGCAAAGAAATTCAGCTATGCCTTTCAAGAATTGAAATCAAGAATCTTTTAGTACATTAAGTGGATGTTCAAGTGTTTACACTCAAAGAGACTGCGCAAAGGGATTCAGTTCTTCACCATAGGAAGGGCGATTGGGAAAGGCACAAAACGCAGTCAGCCAAATCCAAGCAGTAACGATCACTCATTACATTTTTAGTTCGATGCCATTCTAGAGCGTATGTATGCAACTAATTTCTGACCGTTTTTCCAAGAACTTCTGCATCATTTATTCTCAAGCTCCACATTAATTCTCCGACGACTGTAAACTTTTATTAATTGTAAGTTAAATATAATAGCAGGGGTATATTGAAACATAAAAATGTACCACAACCTAGAACATCGCTGCTAAATCAAATTCAAGTTGAGTCATTACATTTATTAAGAATTTTGTCTTACCTATGGAAATTTTTTATTACCTGACGGATTTCGCTAGTGTACTATTCCAAGGTTCGTAGAAGAAAAAATATAAATCTATCTAATAAATGCCAAACATTTTCAGAGGCAGAATTTTTTATTTCCTTTACTTTCTTCCAAAACGTATAATTTTTTGCAAATGACACTGATCAGCACAAATTTCGTAATATTCTAAATAGCACTTGCTTCCTGTATAATCGACAGCACTGCCTTGAGTGTATATTTAGATAGTACTAGCTACAACCGCAATTGTTGGGTGACATCACATCATTTATCAAATCATTATCATTTATCAGTATTTTACGAAGTCATTCTAAAATTATTATTTTAAGGTTTCTACAAGAAACATTCTGGTCTTATATAATGGATTATTGTATCTAAAAATTATTCATTAAACCTGTTGCCTCTCTTTGAAAGATTTTAATATTAATGACAAATGCATTAATTCTTGAAAGGTCAAGGATAGAGCTTCGACCTCAAAAACGGGTAAATAAGAAAAAAAATTGTCCTATAAATAACAAGTACGTAATTTTGAAAATAGCTTTGCGTGTTACAAATTTTCTAGAATAACGTATTTAATGACTGATATGCAAACATCGGAAGAATATAAATACTTGTTTCAAATGTCTTCAAGTTCCAGCTCAAGAACGTTTCCGTGTGTAAAAGTCCATTAAAACAAGATTAAGAAGTCCATTAAGTTGTACGTAAGCGTTTTAGCGTTGTCAAGGGAAATGGCATGCTCAATGAAGCATAGTTTACAACTTTGTACATAAAATGAATACACGAGGTCTGATTTTTCATGTTTCGTTATGTAATAATTTTTATAACTGATATTTTTACAGACTATTTTTTAGTAATACTTAATTTATGTTAGAAATTGTTAGTTTACTCCTTTAGTTGCTGAACCCCAGATTTCAGAGTACAGACTATTTTAAGGTATAGGATGATTTAACAACTTATGTATTATTCTTAAATGCAATTCGAATACGCATTTCTTTTTGAATAAAATTATTCATGCTATACTATTCAGAATCCGCCCGACCGGTAAAGTGGTTAGCGTCGCTGAATGCCGTGCCGAAGGGCTCGGGATCGAATCCCAGAGAAGGCATCGCTGTTTGTAAATGTATAATGTCGGTGCGGCATGGCGGCATTATAGATATGTGACGAGCCGAAAGTCCTCTCTTGTGGTTTGGTGGAAGGAGAGAGGGGTAATAGACCCTCGGACCCGTCCCCCTGGGGTGTTCCCAATCAAAACTGGGGATCAGAACTGAGCTAAATCGCATTGTCATCTGATTGGTGCTCAAGGCTGTTGCCAACGGCAAGCGCAGTTTAGCACTTCTTGCCACGAGGAATTTCGTGGACTTGAGCCGACTATGTCAGACAAGTGAGCATAAGCAATAACAACATAATATTCATTCCCTTAATAATCTTAGTTTGTCAAAATAATTTCGAAAAACAATTTCATGTTCAATAGGATAGGAAAGCTTTCCTTCAAAATCTCTAATACTTAATAAAAGTTAAAATAAACAGTAGAAGCTTAAAGACTAAATAACGTACTTTCAGTTTTCATTTGTTTTACTAAAAAACTCTGAATAATATAAAATTTTCAACAAACGTAGAAAAATCAGATTTACCTAAAATCAATGCTTAAGTAAATCACGCTACAGTAAGGAAATGCATATTTCCACAAAAATCATAGGATCATAAGATCCTTTGAATTTATATCAATTTATAAAAGCATCAGCACAGTAATAATTAAAAATATACATTGTTATCAATTCTCGAATTAAGTGGAAAGTTCTCCAGTAAGCTATATATAAGCAAATTTGTTGTCATAAAAACAAAATGCATTATACTCGCTTAAACGTTTCGGGCATTCGCAAAGATGATTGGCACATAATATTGTG